CTTCTCAGCCTCTATAATTGCATGAGCCCATTCCTCATAGTAAATCTCATAATAAATAAGCATATCTATATTGGCTTGTCCAGGGTGATTGTAGTAGAGTGACGAGAAGGGGCTGAGTTCTATATGTATTTTGGGGCTAAAGTCAATGGGATTTGCTGATGGATTAGATGCAGGGTATGAAAGGAAGAAAGGAATTAAGAACGACAGCACAGGTTTTGGACTGAGCAACAGGAATAATGCAATTGCCCGTATTGGAGATGAGAAAGCCTGAGTATGGAGGTTTGTGTGAGTGCTAGGAGTTCAGTTTGGGCTAAGTTCCATTTGAGATGCTTGGCTGACATGCACCTGGCGATGTCATGAGGCAGTTAGATAAGTCTGGAGTTCAGGGAAGAGAATGAGATGGGAGGTTTAAACCTGGGAATCAACCACATAAAATTTAAAATCCTGAAACTGGACGAGCTCTCCAGAGACAGCGAGAGAAGAGATCTCAGAGCTGAGCCCTGGGGCACTCCGATGTTAGAGGTCAGAGCAGGAGAATGGACCAGGAGACCCTGGCCTAACTAAGGAGGGTGGAAATGAGCCTTTCTCATCCTGAGACCTCAGCGTGCAGTCTGGCTTCATCCTCCATCCGGGGGAGGGGCGCTCTCTTTCTCTGCATCAGTGTCTGGTTAAGTGAAAGTTGCTGCACTGCCAGTTCCTCTCAATATGTTGCCCTAAGACATGAGAGAGAGGACACCAAGTTGGATTCAACATATTAATCCTAATAGGGCTAATGACCTGGTGGTCTCTACAGATAATTCCTCTTGACCTCCTGGGTTTATTTTCTCACTGCCATCAAGAACCTGATTTTAGTGTTAGAAAGAGAACCCGCTGCCAGGAGATGCTAAGCTCTTTTCCTCAAGATCCCTTAACATTCCCTCACTCTGTCTGTCCTGCACCTGCTTCAGCAAACAGGTCCTGTAATCAAAGGAAGCTTGAGAGCGATTTTCCGGGGATTTAACAAAGACTAACATGTATTTTGCTAATTCCACAGTCTCAGAGCCCTTCTCCCACCTCTTAGTTTAAATAGAATTTTCATAAAGTATAATTTGAAAGGTTCTCTATATAGTATCATATCGATGTCAAGAGACTTCTGTTTCTTTCCTAACAGGATTAGGAAGATATAGTGAAATTGGATCTATTTCTGATAAAATTTTCACATTATACTATGACCACATGGGATTCATACATAAACTGACTCCAGATCATTTTGAAGCTGGTGGGTCGCTTGCTGGCTCTGGAAATTCTAAAGGTATTTTTGGACAGGTCAGTGATACAATGCATTGAAGCAGTTCGCCTTGTTTTAAACATAAATGCCACATTCTATATACAGAGCAATGGGGAAATGGGAAAGTGTTTTCCTTGGGACAAACCCTTATTAATGCTCTTTGCTCTACGTAACTAAAGGAAAAACCTCCATGTGTCAAGGAACATCTCCAAAATCTTTCAAGCCCTATCCAGGGATATAGAGATTTAACTCCATCCACAATATTTTCATATAAATGTTTTCACAGCAAACCACCAGATGTTCTAAGCTAGATCCAACCCAGGTTCATGGTGAGTTTGATGCTCTACCTCTCAAGGTTGACCTTGAAGAAATGTGAGTTCTGTTTTTCCCACTTGTTTACCTTTTCTCTTTCATATTAACCCTGCCCCCTCATTTCTTCCTTTTCTAATGCTGACATAGAGGACTTACCATCTACTTCATGCAGATTTTCCTGATAGTTTTGATGTATCATGTGCCCACCTGGGAAGTTACAAATGCCTAAGAACTCCTCATGGCACACGATCAAGATAAAGAGTTCTCATTAGTATGTCAGCGAAGAATCAAACAGATGTTTTGACTGAGATTTAGTAAAACCTGCCCTTTGGCCTAAAGGAAACAGAATAAAAGATGACTCTAGTTTTACTAGATCTTTCCGAATTACCAGGCCAAGACTGCGGTTCAGAGGGTGGTGTTTTAACTTCTCCTGTCTGAGTACCTGTAGAGAGTAACAGGGAACTTTGTAGTGACAGTAAGATGCCATCCTGTGACTCCCTGTGTCCTTATTTGCCGATCTGTTGTGTGAACCTGCAAAGAAATACATCAAACCACATGAACAGAAGGGTCGCACTCACCAAAAAAGCAGTTACCTCAATTTTTCAGTAACTTCACAATTTGTAGAAAATGTCTTAGCTCTCTTATGTCAACGTTTAAATTATTAAAATCAAAAGCTGGGGGGAGGGTATAGCTCAGTGGTAGAGCACATGCTTAGCATGTACAAGGTCATGGGTTCAATCCTCAGTACCTCCATCAAATAAAAACAAATAATAATAATAACAAATAAATAAACCTAATTTTCTGCCCCCCCCATAAAAAGACAAAAAAAATTTTTTAAGCCAATGGGAGTTTTTATACTCAAGATGAGTTCCAGGAACTCACACTCAGCATTATCACCTCCCTCCCCCAAATCAAACTATACAAGCATCCCCTCTGGATACAGAAAGTTCCTGGATCTTATTTGGCTCTGACTGTGTGCCACGCACTAGCAAAGCACTTCACCTTCCTAACAGCTGTTTCTCCTCATTTTACCCATGGCTAAAGAATTTACCCAGAATTACACCCACCACTGGTTAGTTGCTGGAATGAGGCATCTAAGCAGACAGCAGATTCCAGGGCCTGTCCTGTTAGTCACTGCGCCACCTTTCCTGGGACTTGCACGTTCTTTTCATGGGATGTACTTGCCACTCCCAGGCTAGGATGTCCTACAGAAATCTTAAAGCTTTGCCAGTAATTTTCAAGAGTCCTTAAGCCATCTGTTCAGTCCCAATACATTCTCACAGCGTCTGTTTCCCACTCTCTCCCCTACTTGGTGGGCTCCCAGATTTAAGAGACCAAGGGAAAAGGCATGAGAGAAATGGGTCTTGAAGGCACCGCCTGATGGTGGCGCCCTAACGAGTCTGCACTGTCTACCACCCTCCTTGTGTCGCAGCAACAAGGTCAACTCCAGCATCCCCTTTGGGGATGGTCCTCACCTGTCTTCTCGCCCCTCAAACTGCCCAGACCTGGACAGGATCAGGATCAGAGAAGGGTTGTTGAAAAGAAGACCCCTGGGTCAGAAATGTGGGCCAAAGGTGCTCACGTCAACAGCCAGGAAAAGCCTTGTGAGCCAGAGGGAGCGAGAACGTGCCACCAGTGCTGGGGAGCCCTCAGCGCTGGGCAGGGTCACCACGGGAGATTGGGAGCGTCAGCGCTCAAGTGGAGAGGTGCTTCTCAGCCCCCCACTTACATACGACTCCAAATAAGAATTGAGTTCTGGAGTCACCGCCTCTAAACTCCACACACACGACATGACACTCAAGTCTTCCACGCCACCTTCTACGCAGGAATCGTAAACGGAATTTTACTCCTCAGAATTGATTTTCCTCCTCGATAGAAAAAAATGCGTTTTTCCCTTGCACACACGTGGATGAAACAGAATCCATTGGAATATTCCTCCTATTGATAAGCAAAACAGCATTGTTTTGATGTGAAGTGGAAGCAAATCTGTTACTCGCATTTTGTCATAATTGAAGTATAAAGCCGTTCGAACTACAGTATTTTCTCTTTTCATATCCCAGGCTCCTGATATGGGCTTTGAGACTGCCCTTGCTCCACAGTATATCACCTTAAATGAGATGATCTTTTTTGCGTATGTGCCCAAGAATGAACCTAAGGAAAATATACACAACAAGAAGTTCAACGGCATTCACGCTGGAAAAGTGATCCACTCCAGGTAGTGACTGACTAGCTTCACATTTCACTTAGATGGCACACTGGTTTCTAAATTCTTAATTTTGAGCCTGCGTTTTTGAGTAATTTTCTTGATCATATAGGATAAGTTTTTCCTTTAACACCTCACAAGGCCAAATACATTTATGGACTCCAAGGTGCCTTGTGCAATGCGCCAGTTTTAGAAATGTGGGGCCGGGTCTGTCGGCACTGTCAGGCCAAGCTGTAGGCTTGCGTGTTTGTCATCTTGGGCATCGAAAACGTGTGGGCTGCACTGGATACTGCTGATCTTCAGGGCTCAGTCTCAGGACAGCCTGAAGGCAAGCACATCTAGCGTAGAGGAGGCCATCCTGCCTGAAATACTGCACAGAGGGTGTGCCGAGTTCTCAGGAACGCTTGCTTTGAAAATACCAGCTAGAGCCAGTGACCCTTCAAGCTACACTTAAGGCTTAAAGACTTTCTTTGAAAACTAATGCGAATTCTGTAACTCCCCCCTCAGATCTAACAACCAGGAAAGGAATGGTTTCAGATTACCAGAGACTCCCCCATCCCAAATGTGTTGGGCCCTATTCCAGGAGGCTGAGGTCTGTTTATTACACGTGCATTGGGCTGTCAGTGCATATCCTGTCCCACAGCCGCAACTCCACGCACCCCGCAGCGCAGCTCGCTCAGAGGTGGGATTGGAGGATGGTGGTTAGACACAGTATAACAAACGTTGGCATTAGTTTTTTCCTACAAAGATTGTAGAACATTCTGTCTCTAAGAAAAGTATCTTGATCTCTTGTTTTGATGACTGACTGACCGGGAAGGTCAAGGATTTGGGAACCGGAAGTTATGAGGTCGGCAATAGGCCAAAGGCAGGTATCTAGGTAGTCAGGGGGCAAAGCAGGGTAAGCCCTTCATTCTGTTGACAAATAGTTATTTAACACTCACTGCACGCAAGACAGTGCGGGAAATGGGGTGATAGAGGATGAGAAGGACGTTCGAGCCCATGTACTCCTTGAACTTGGATTCCAGCACAGGACATCGACCATTAAGTAATAATAGTTAATGTAAGTCTGCAACGGAGGAGCGTGGAGCATTGAGAGAGTGGTTTCCTGGGGATTGAGCCCTTGTTTGGAGGATCTTGGAGGGTTTCCCAGAGGCAGTGATGTTTATGATGAAATGAGGAGGAGGAAAGGGGAAGGGGAGTGGGGGAAAGGTTCCAGCCTGAGAACAGCGTGGAAAAGGGCCCCAGGCCAGCGGGAGCCTGATGTGTGCTTAAGAAACCCAAGGAAATCAGAGTGACTTCAGTGTCGTGAACCAAGGAGAAAAATCATTCAAGACCAGATCAGGGGGGCTTTTGTGCCCCAGTAAGGAATGTGGATGTTATTCCAAGAAGGGGAAGCACTGAAGGCTTTGAATTAGGTGACTAACCGGATGAACTGTGTGTAATTTGTTTACCGAACCAGCTGGATATCAACTTTATTTTTCCCCTTCCGGTCTCTTCAGATCCCTCTGTGGACCTATTTCCTTTGTGGCTCTAGATGACATATCAGGCAGATCCCATAGCTTTTCTCTGAGACAATAAGTAAATATTTCCTTGGCTTTTTAAAGAGTCTGAATCAGTCTAATAACTACATGACTCCATTCATCTCCAGTGTTTTAAGAAACTTCAAACTCTTATCCAATTTAAGTTTGTTTTCCAACCCCTGTTTGGGCCTGACCCTGCCTGGGGAGCCTAGAGTGTGGGGAGGTGGAGAATTTCTCATTCTCAGTATTTTCACATTTACATTCTCCCTCCCTAAAAGTCAAGGCTTTCCAGCCCCTTCCGGAGTTGGGTGAGAGAGGGAAGTAAGATAAAGGGGTCTGCTGAGGGAGATCTGACTCCTTTGAAGAGGTGACACGTCTACTGGTGGACAGCTGTCCCCATCACCCCCAGGCCTCTGCAAGTCTTCCACTCTGCAGGCCTGTACACTTGCAGCAGTGCTTCTGGGCAGCATTCTTTTCTTTCCTGCCTCTCTTCTGCCCCCCAGCACTATGCCTCTAGACTTGTTTCTGGAAGTGCTGGTAGGAGCCCCAGGAGTGCTCTCAGAGGGCACCCTTCAACTGTCACAGCCTTCCCAGGGCTGGCCACATCCAATGACAGATCAAGGTGGAAACAGAAAGACCTAGCCTTTTCAGCCTAACACAGTTCAGCTCTAAAGGGCCATTTTAGCTTCAGAGTTCCCCACTTCTCTCTCTGCTGAGTCCTGCCTCCATCACCTCCCCTCTATGGGTGTTAATCTCAAAGAACTCACAGTCAAACACCCTACCCTCTAACTCTGTCCCTGAGTCTGCTTCCTAGAGGTCTCAACTCGGTAACACAGTTTCTGGCTTGCTGTTGGACCACGGTAGAGGCTGAAATCCTGTCTGTGGGGCACAAATGAACATATGATCTGAGATGCCTGTAATTGACCAGACGTCCCCTGACTCATCAACCCATAAAATGGTAGAGTGTGTAGCAGCACTCTGTCCTCAAGTGGAAACAGTAATCAAAAAAGATGACACATGAGCAGGTCTGGAGAGCGCCGGTATGTTTCACGAGTGGGAGGTTTGTAACTGACAGATACACCTCCTGCTCCTGCTTTACCGCCTCTCCTGTAATCCACATCTGTGACCTCATACCGAGTTCCCTGTGATCAGATCACCAAAGAGGGAAAATTTGAGCCTAATTTTAAAACATTTCCACATAGAAATCTGGCACTTCCACAAGGAGGTGTCTAGAGTATTATATCCTGCAGGACTAGCTCAGGGGGACGGAAGGAAAGGACTTTGTGGGGTTATTTGTTTTTTAGTTGAAGTATAGTTGACTAACAATTTTATTTTACTTTCAGATGTACAACATAGTGAGTCAATATTTTATAGATTGTACTCCATATAAAATTATTATAAAATATTGGCTAAAAATTTTTTATAGCTTTAACACATATATATGTATCAAAATGTATTGTTTAGTTTTGTGAAATGTATTTCTTAGCCATGTCTGCCTTTTCCTGTGACTTGTCTCTTTCATTCAACCTCTGCTTTTTAAATTATCCTATATGCTTTTTAAATTACTCCATACTGATGTATGCACTGTAATTCACTCACATGAATATACCACAATCTCTTTAGCTAGTCTCCTATGTTGTAGTTTTAAACTTTTGCTTTGTATTTTTAAGTTTTCAGTCTAGCTAGGCCTGATGTTGCATGTAATTTGACGTGGAAATCTGATTTCTTTCTTTCTTTAAATACAGATAGCCAGTTGTCCAAACAAGCCTCTTCTTTCCCCCTGATCTGCAGCATCACCCCATGATGTATCATAATTCCATACGTGCATCCATCTCTTTCTGTTTCTCTTCTATCTCATTGCTGTATTTGTCTTCCCAAAGTCACACTAAATTTCTCTAACCAGGTAACCCATGTGGCTGGCACCCCTTCCTGGTTTTTCTTGGCCTTTGGTCTTGCATTTCAATGTCAGGTTCAGCTTGTGATGCTCCATTAAGATTAAAAAAAAAAGCACCTAATAATAGAAGTTACCTCTCGTGATAGCCAGGTTCTGCCTTCTGTCTGCAGTTAGATCTTGGGTGGAGATTCCTGGCTCTTTTTACAATAAGATAACTCTATTTTGTTCTCTTGGAATCTTAGGCCTGAGACAGCTTCCCAACCCTCCATAAGGATAGAGAGTTGTTATTTCATCCTTTCCTCATCCGTAGTGTGTCTGACTGTGCGCTGGTGATGATTGGCTTTGCTGCCTCTCTCCCAGTAGCTTAAAGCTTCTGCTACCAGGGGGAGGGAGAGAGCCAAGGCTTCAGTGACAGCACCCCCCAGGGCCCCCTCCCCAGCCTCCAGTCACCTCTTTTGAGACCTGTGTGCAAGAGTGTTTAATGCCCAACCTCCTGTGGCTGAAGGCTTCTGCTTCTTAGGAAAGAAGATGCAGGGAAGTGGGTTATCCTTCAGACCTATTTCCTCTCATCCTCTGTTCCTCCCACCATCACCCCATCTCCCACACCCTTGCTCCCTGCACCACCATCTGGGACTCTCTCTGGTCTATTCCCTGCCCCAGTCTCTCTCTTGAGCCTTCAGAGAAGCCCATGGGAAGGAACTTGCAAGGGAATACAGATTCCCTTTTGAAAGCTGCCCCAGCATTTCCAAACTCACATGCCAGCACATACTTGGTCTTTGGCAGTTTTTATTATTTTTTTTCTTTACAATTTTAGCTAATTCTTACTCACCTCTTTTGTAGCCAGCACTGTATTTCTCCATTCCACACTAATCCATAAGAGAGACTATTCCAGTGTTCATACTCTCCTGGAAATGACTTATTCCCCTGGGTTCCAGGCTGGTTGGTTATCTTGTGACCTTAGTTCTCTGATGGCTTAAGGGAAGTGATGACTTGTAATTTATCTGCTTTGCTTTGTTTTTTCTTGTTGAATTGCTTCTTTCTGCATCTAAAGCAAAAGTAGATGTCTTATAATTGACTTTTGTGTAGTAACCTTAAATTTTTCACATTTGCTAAATTCTTTTGATCATTTTAATACTTTTAATATATTTGGGGGGGTCTGAGTAGAAGTAAATTTTTTTTCTAAGTAGATAATCACTCTACCTGCAAATAATTTGTTTTGTTTCTTGTTTAACATTTCTTAGCATATTATACCCTTTTTCTGTTACAGTATCTAGAAAGTCATTAACAGGGATGAAGATAGTGGGTGTCTTAGTTCATTCGTACTGGTGTAATCAAACCCCATCGACTGGGTGGCTTATAAACAACAGAAATGTATTCTTCACAGTTCTGAAGGCTGGAAGTCCAAGATTAGGTGCCAGAACTGTCAAGTTCCAGTGCGGACCTGCTTGTGCGTTGCAGATCGCCAACTTGTCTCTGTGTCTCCACACGGTTGAAGGAGGCGGGGGATCTGTTTGGAGCCCCTTTGGTAAGGGTCCTAATCTCATTCACAAATCCACCCTCATGACCTAAATCAGTTCCCTAAAGCTTCACCTCCCAAT